CCTGCCGCCCCTGCAGTGTACTCTGCGAGGCGTCGCTCGCGGTGGAGGCCCTGGCGGACTTCGGCAGGGGCGACGCCCAGGAGGGGAGGGCTCGACTCAACGGCGGAGGCCCGCGAGCGCCGGCCGTTTGAAACGCACAGGGCCATGCCGATTTGAGGCTGGCGACCGTCAGGTGCTGGCAGAGGGCTTCGGGGATGTGTGTTCGCTGGCCGATAAGCACTCGCCGAATTCCACCACCTGAGGCGCTGCAGAAAGGGCCGCGCCTTCGATGGTCGAAGGAATTTACACCTGGACCTCGGCGAAAGGCGGGCGAAGGGCGGAGGAAGCTGGCGGAGGTGAAACGGCGGCGGCTCCGCCAGCCGAAGCTGGCGGAAGGCCAGCGGAACTTGGCGGAAGTAAAGGATGCGCGAGATGGCAAGGCTGACGTGGCCGGCGCCGATTTCAGTCAGACCTGTGGCCCGGGAGAGGTCCCCCAAGTTCCCCGTAATCTCGAGGGTGTATGCCCGCGCGCATGTGCTTTTGACAGCAGGTCTGGCATCAGGAGAAAAGCCTGCTTCCAGGGTAGAATGCACGGGGCCGCGCCATCTGAGCCCAGGAGTCGCCAGGTCGTGCCGACCGAGGGCGCGGGCAGGCCGTGCCGACGGGAGCAGGGCGGTGAGGTTATGGCCGGCGCGCTCGATCGGACGCGCTCTTCGTGGGGGGGGGGGAGGGGGCACGTTGGTCAGAGGAGGGCGAGTTGAGACAACAGTACGTAATTGGCTTTCGGGAGGGGGGCCTCGTCACCACGGGTGGACGCAGCTCGGAGAATGGGTGCGTCTGGACTTCGGGAGAGGTCTGGGGACAGATTTTGAGTTGCCTTTGTCGCAACTCGCCCTGCTCCGAGGCACGTTGGCGCACCCAGTTCCCGCGAGTTCTCCAGGGTCGACCGCTCGTCGGCCGCAAGGCCCGTATCCAGTGATCTTGCGCCGCAGGAAGGGCCCCAGGGCACGTTGGCGCACGGAGCCCCCACGAGTTTTCAAAAGGTCGGCCGCATGTCGGCCGCAGGGCCCGGTACCCGGTGATGCTTGGCCGCAGGGAGGCCCGTTCAGAGCATCCGCGCGTCGCTCGTGACGGTCCTGGCGGCAGAGGTCAGTTCTCGCGAGGCTCTCCAGGAGCGGCCGCTCGTCGGCCGCAAGGCCCGAATCCGGTGAGTCTTGCGCCGCAGGAACCGAGCATTTTCTTTGGCTGTAGGGCAAAGGATGACATGTGAAATGCCGTTTCGATTAATTTTCGAGGCCTGAATCTGTAAGAGGTGAATCACAAGACGGATTGACTTTCGAGGTGCAAAAGCTCATATGGATTTCACCCTGCTGAGCCCCCCACCCTGAGAAAATGCTCGGGAAGCGTGCGCAGCAGACGCGCCTCGTTCTGGGCAGCCGTCCGGACCGAGGGCTGTGGCAACAGGCAGAGAGGCCGCGGTCGCGCCCTCTGGGAGGCCAGTGGTGCCAGGCGCCGAGAGGGTAGAGAAGGCCCAGGGCCCGCCGAGAGCCTTCCTGACCCTACAGTGAAGTCGGGCGTGTCCCTCGACAGGAGGAATGTTCAAAATTAGTCCAAAAATAGTCTGGGGACGATTGTTGGACTATTTGCGATTAATTTGGGAGCATTTGGGGGGTATTTCTAATTTGTTCTGTCCGAAATCCGCCTGTAGGGGGACACGCCCGACAGAACCCTACAGCCACGGCGCTGAAAACGGGGAGCCCTTCTGGTGCGTAAGGGGTTCGCTGTTCCTTGTGCTCTTCCCGGGTTGCTCCTACAGCGCGCATCCTGTGCCCAGACGCCTTCGGGGGCAGAGGCCTCGTTCATCTCTTAATTAGCGCTCCTTGTGGCAGCAGCTTGATTGTCATCCAGTTTCCCATCCTCCTTCTCCCTTCCTGCCCCTGCTCCATCCATCGCTTCCCCGTGCTGGGCAGATTGTGCTCGCAGACGTGAACTCGCAGGCGCCGCCAGGCACCGCGGCGGCTGGCGGGAGCGCCCGCGCCTCTATGAGCACAGGTTTGAATTCCGATCTGGCGTGATGGCAGATGGCGCGGGTCAGGTGCACCCTCTTCTCCTCATAGTATAATTTTCCTTCGTTCCCCTCCCCTTTCTCGTCGTCCCTCGCCCTCCTTCTCCTCCTCCTCTCCTCCTCCTCCGCCTCCTTCTCTTCCCAACTACCCTTCCCCCGTGCCCCTCTCCCGTCAAACCGCTCCCCTCGCCCCCGTCGTCTCCCTTCCCCTCTCCGTTTGTGTCTCTTCGCCTCGCTTTCGTCGCCGCCCTGGCCTCTGGCTCCGTGGCCATAGGCGGCTGCGGCGCCGATTATATCACGACGACAAGCAACACACGTGATGGCGGTGACGAGACCGTGACATGACGTGACGACGCGACGATGGCCACGATCACCGTAGCACGGCGACATCAGTGACACGATGATGGCCACGACCAGCATCACATATTATCACAGGCACCATTCTGGCGACGACGAGGGCAATGACGCGGCCAGAGGAGGAGGAGGAGGAGGAGGAGGACGAGGAGGAGGATGACGAGGAGGAGGAGGAGGAGGAAGAGGGGAGGCAAAGGTGCGGAGAAAGCTTGCAGCGCCCTGCCGCCGAAGGACTGCGTCGACTGTATTTGAGTATTTCCTGGCGTGCGGATACCGCTGCGCCTATCGCTCCGTAGGTTCCATCCGCCTTCTTTCACTCGCGCATGTTGTAGCGCAGAAGATTAGAAAAAAGGGTGGCAACGCACGAGCAGGAGGAAGCAGGCGAGAAGCAGAGGCATGGGGCATAGTGGGGACCCATGCCAGGAAACACCCTGCGTGCCTCCAGGGTGCCCTGGGTGCCTTGCGCTTCGATGGTTTTGCTGAGGAAAGCGTAGCGTTCCCACACCAGAAATCCATGGGCGTCCTGTGGTCGCAGGGGGGTTGGATTTCTTGTAGAGGGATCCTCGTGGACTGGCCTCCGCTGTATGGAGGAGAAGCAGCGCAGAGCAGGGGAAGGACGGGAGGTGTGAGGCAAAGGCCGAGGACCATGATTCAAAAGCATTAGCCCATGCACAGAGTTATGATGTTCCAACCTACTTGGGCCCTGGCTGCCAGACAGAATTTCGCGCACCAAGAAAGTACCGAAACTGGATGGTTCTCACGTGTCAAGCCCTGGGGGGCGATACTCGCTCGACACTGTTTCGAATGTGTTCGGGGTGCTCGAAATTATTTTCTGGGATGTGGTTCTTAAGCACGATGGGAGCAACATAGGCACAGAGTAGCCTACGACACATTTCGCGTCGCATTGAACACGACTTTGGGTTTGGTCGCCCGTGTTTTGACACTCTGGGGGCTTCGAGTTTGCAGCAGTTCGGCCAGAAAGTCCTGCCTGAGCGTTGGAAACTGCAGGGGCCCAGTAGACCTGGCCCGGCACGGAAACGGAAAGAGCGCTTCAGAATCAGAAACCGAAATTACTCACACCACCGTTTGTATCGGGAGCCTTGGCGTTGAGAGCTTGTTACGTCACCCCTCGCTCTTGGGAGCCTTGGTGTTCAGAGATTGTTGCGTTGCCGCCCGTTCCTGAGCCTTGGCTGGGCCTTGGTGTCAGGAACTTGTTACGTCACCGCTCTCTGCTGGGAGCCTTGGTCTTATCAGCTTGTTTACGTCACCGTTCGCTCTTGGGAGCCTTGGTGTGAAGAGCTTTTTGCGTTACCGATCGCTCTCTATTTGGCGTCTCTGGGCCTTCTTGGGAGTCCTATTGGGGCCCTTGTCGGGCCCTTTTGGAGGCCTCTTGGGAACCTCTTGGGGGCCTCTTGGGGCTTCTTGGGGGGCTCTGGGGGCCTCCTGGGAGCTTCTTGGGGCGAAAGGCTAGACTTTTCGGTTCGTGGTCCCCCTCTTGGGGCCGTCTTGGGGCCCTCTTGGGCCGTCTTGGGCGCCTCTTGGGCCGTCTTGGCGCCCTCTTGGGCCGTTTTGGGGGCCTCTTGGGAGCCTCTTGGGCCGCCTTGGGGCGGTCTTGGGGGCCTCTTGGAGCGTCTTCAACGCAGTGAAAGCCGAAAAGCCGTGTATGCTAAAAATGTATTTTTCCCCATAGGAAATCAATGATTTTCGCCTCCCGGTGGCCTCTTGGGACGCCTCTTGGGGGCCTCTTGGGGCTTCTTGGGGGGCTCTGGGGGCCTCCTGGGAGCGTCTTGGGGCGAAAGGCTAGACTTTTCGGTTCGTGGTCCCCCTCTTGGGGCCGTCTTGGCGCCCTCTTGGCCCGTCTTGAGCGCCTCTTGGGCCGTCTTGGGCCCTCTTGGGCCGTTTTGGGGGCCTCTTGGGAGCCTCTTGGGCCGTCTTGGGGAGGTCTTGGAGGCCGCTTGGGCCGTCGTCAACGCAGTGAAAGCCGACAAAGCGCACATGCTAAAAATGTACGTTTCCCTATGGAATCCAATTGATTTCGGCCTCTTGGGGCCCTCTGGGGACGCCCCTTGGGCGCCTCTTGGGGGCCTCTTGGGGGCCTCTTGGGCCGTCTTGGGCGGTCTTGGGCTCTCTTGGAGCGCTCTTGGGCCGTCTTGGGGGGGAACCCGAAAAACATGCAAAAACCCTAGGGAAAACCCGAACAACTGCCATTAATACACAAATGCGCCCGCTACCACCCTCCCCTGGAACCCCTCCCTTTAGGGCTTCGCCCACACCAGAACGTCATCACTCGAACCTCGCTCTTTCCGTTACCTGGCCCAGCACGGAAACGGAAAGAGCGCTTCAGAATCAGAAACCGAAATTACTCACACCACCGTTTGTATTGGGAGCCTTGGCGTTGAGAGCTTGTTACGTCACCCCTCGCTCTTGGGAGCCTTGGTGTTCAGAGATTGTTGCGTTGCCGCCCGTTCCTGAGCCTTGGCTGGGCCTTGGTGTCAGGAACTTGTTACGTCACCGCTCTCTGCTGGGAGCCTTGGTCTTATCAGCTTGTTTACGTCACCGTTCGCTCTTGGGAGCCTTGGTGTGAAGAGCTTTTTGCGTTACCGATCGCTCTCTATTTGGCGTCTCTGGGCCTTCTTGGGGGTCCTATTGGGGCCCTTGTCGGGCCCTTTTGGAGGCCTCTTGGGAACCTCTTGGGGGCCTTGGGGCTTCTTGGGGGGCTCTGGGGGCCTCCTGGGAGCTTCTTGGGGCGAAAGGCTAGACTTTTCGGTTTGTGGTCCCCCTCTTGGGGCCGTCTTGGGGCCCTCTTGGCCGTCTTGGGCGCCTCTTGGGCCGTCTTGGCGCCCTCTTGGGCCGTTTTGGGGGCCTCTTGGGAGCCTCTTGGGCCGTCTTGGGGCGGTCTTGGGGGCCTCTTGGAGCGTCTTCAACGCAGTGAAAGCCGAAAGCCGTGTATGCTAAAAATGTATTTTCCCCATAGGAAATCTATTATTTTCGCCTTCCGGTGGCCTCTTGGGACGCCTCTTGGGGGCCTCTTGGGGCTTCTTGGGGGGCTCTGGGGGCCTCCTGGGAGCGTCTTGGGGCGAAAGGCTAGACTTTTCGGTTCGTGGTCCCCCTCTTGGGGCCGTCTTGGCGCCCTCTTGGCCCGTCTTGAGCGCCTCTTGGGCCGTCTTGAGCGCCTCTTGGGCCGTTTTGGGGGCCTCTTGGGAGCCTCTTGGGCCGTCTTGGGGCGGTCTTGGGGGCCTCTTGGGCCGTCGTCAACGCCGTGAAAGCCGGCAAAGCGCACATGCTAAAAATATACGCTTCCCTTTGGAATCCCATTGATTTCGGCCTCTTGGGGCCCTCTGGGGACGCCCCTTGGGCGCCTCTTGGGGGCCTCTTGGGGGCCTCTTGGGCCGTCTTGGGCGGTCTTGGGCTCTCTTGGAGCGCTCTTGGGCCGTCTTGGGGGGGAACCCGAAAAACATGCAAAAACCCTAGGGAAAACCCGAAAACTGTCATTCATACGCAAATGCACCCGCTACCTCCCTCCCCTGGAACCCCTCCCTTTAGGGCTTCGCCCACACCAGAACGTCATCACTCGAACCTCGCTCTTTCCGTTACCTGGCCCGGCACGGAAACGGAAAGAGCGCTTCAGAATCAGAAACCGAAATTACTCACACCACCGTTTGTATTGGGAGCCTTGGCGTTGAGAGCTTGTTACGTCACTCCTCGCTCTTGGGAGCCTTGGTGTTCAGAGATTGTTGCGTTGCCGCCCGTTCCTGAGCCTTGGCTGGGCCTTGGTGTCAGGAACTTGTTACGTCACCGCTCTCTGCTGGGAGCCTTGGTCTTATCAGCTTGTTTACGTCACCGTTCGCTCTTGGGAGCCTTGGTGTGAAGAGCTTTTTGCGTTACCGATCGCTCTCTATTTGGCGTCTCTGGGCCTTCTTGGGGGTCCTATTGGGGCCCTTGTCGGGTCCTTTTGGAGGCCTCTTCGGAACCTCTTGGGGGCCTTGGGGCTTCTTGGGGGGCTCTGGGGGCCTCCTGGGAGCTTCTTGGGGCGAAAGGCTAGACTTTTCGGTTCGTGGTCCCCCTCTTGGGGCCGTCTTGGGGCCCTCTTGGGCCGTCTTGGGCGCCTCTTGGGCCGTCTTGGCGCCCTCCGTTTTGGGTGCCTCTTGGGAGCCTCTTGGGCCGTCTTGGGGCGGTCTTGGGGGCCTCTTGGAGCGTCTTCAACGCAGTGAAAGCCGAAAAGCCGTGTATGCTAAAAATGTATTTTTCCCCATAGGAGATCAATGATTTTCGCCTCCCGGTGGCCTCTTGGGACGCCTCTTGGGGGCCTCTTGGAGCTTCTTGGGGGGCTCTGGCGGCCTCCTGGGAGCGTCTTGGGGCGAAAGGCTAGACTTTTCGGTTCGTGGTCCCCCTCTTGGGGCCGTCTTGGCGCCCTCTTGGCCCGTCTTGAGCGCCTCTTGGGCCGTCTTGGGCCCTCTTGGGCCGTTTTGGGGGCCTCTTGGGAGCCTCTTGGGCCGTCTTGGGGCGGTCTTGGGGGCCTCTTGGGCCGTCGTCAACGAAAGCCGGCAAAGCGCACATGCTAAAAATATACGTTTCCCTCTGGAAATCGATGATTTCGGCCTCTTGGGCCCTCTTGGGACGCCCCTTGGGCGCCGCTTGGGGGCCTCTTGGGGGCCTCTTGGGCCGTCTTGGGCGGTCTTGGGCTCCCTTCGAGCGCTCTTGGGCCGTCTTGGGGGGGAGCCCGAAAAACATGCAAAAATCCTAGGGAAAACCCGAAAACGGCCATTAACACGCAAATGCGCCCGCTACCCCCCTCACCTGGAACCCCTCCCTTTAGGGCGTCGCCCACACCAGAACGTCATCACTCGAACCTCGCTCTTTCCGTTACCTTACACGAAACGACATCCTTAGACCGACGTCGAGCCAGTTCCGATCTTGGTATTTCCAGGGTTTGTTGTTACCCCAGTTCAAGCGGAGAGCCCGGATGGAACCCACCCCCGTCAAATGTGGCAGCACAATCTCCAAGAGTGAGAAACGAAGCCGTCTTTAAGTGTAAAATATGTTGGCGAATGTGCGAGGTCGTCCTCCTTTTGTTCACGCGCTCACGCTTGACAAATATCCACGCCACATATCTGGAGTTTGTATGTATGCAAATGCACGTAGACGTCCTGCTCCTCCCGTCCTTCCCAACCTGACCCCCCTCCCAAATAACGTGTTCACCTCCAGTTGTTCCACGAAGCAGGTCGACCCCCCGATTTCGAATTGTGCCGGACACTTTACTTTCAGTGCTCTGTAGATGACTCCCCCTCAGCCACGTCCAGGAGAGGCGCTGCCTGGGTACACGACATGGGCGGGCTGGTCGCAAGGCGATTACCAGGCAATGCTGCGCGTTGTTCTCTATATGTCGCTCTCCCTTCGGTTGCCATTCCTGTTGCACACCGTCTCCGCCTCCTCCCTAGGAGGAGGTGCGAGGGAGGGAGAGGAAGAGGCGGAAAGAGACTGAAAACAAGGGATGTATATATATATATATATATTGCTGCACACTATAGACCACACTTCGGGTGATAAGGAGGTCGGGGGGGGGTGACGTCTCTTTGATTTGCGTTGGACTCGCACGTCAGTTCACGAGTGGACACATATCGGGACACCAAGATGGATGCTCATTCGCGTATGTGTATGGATGGCGATGTGCCCGCGTATATATACATATATATATATGTAAATAAATGTATACATAGAGTTATACAT